GCCTCCGCTGGCCGCCTGGGCTCCGCGCTGCCCTTCCTGCTCGTGCTCCTCGACCTGCAGTACCAGGGTGAGGGCCGGGGGAGGTGCCCGCGTCTCCAGGGGCCGACCTCACCGTGGTGGCGGGGCAGCCCCCGCGGGATGTCCTGAGAGGGCAGTGTTGCTGGAAGAGGTGTGAGGCAGAAGGAGGTGCAGAACTGCCACCTCATCAAGGCTGTGGCGAAACGTGTGTAATGAGGGCACCGTCATTGCTTGCAACTTGTTTGGCTCTCTCCGAATTCCTGGCGGTGCTGGCTAAGGTAGATTGATGGGTGCTGCGCTTTCCTTGGCTTGCTGGTAGGATGCCAACTAGTGTGAGGTCTTGAAAACGTCGTAGTGTCCTCGAGTGCAACTCTGTGACAGCATTGGGCAGTTCCGTAGTGGCCAGTTGAATTTCTCACTTTTGTATGTATTTTGTGCGGTTCCCAAGTTCAAAAGCTTTTTCAGTGGCCCTCCTCAGTCACAGATAATATTATTAATATCAGGCCTGCAAATTTGCTGAGGCGTTTGACAGTGATGTTGAAGTTTTCTATGTTTCTGTCTTCTTGTGCATTATTTTGTTTTTGTTTTTTCTCTCACCATTAGTATTTGAAGTTCAGCAAAGTAGTTTATCAGAACTTTGTGCAGACTATTTACTTTCAGAGTACGCTGTCAGCAACACCTGTATGCTCAAACTTCTATTCACAGGCTCCTGTTAAATTTATAACTTGTTTATACAATTGTGCATATAGTCAGAGTTTCATCTGAGAAATGTTCTTTAACTGGCAGTGGTAGACTGAAGTAGAACTGAAATTGTCAATAGTCAGAATAAGTCTGTAGATTTAAGACTGACCTGGGTTTGATATCAGTAATTCAGTTGATATACTGAACTAATTAATACTTCAGCTGTTCGAGTGGCAACAGAAGCATACTGTGGCAAAGATGTTCTGTAGTATAAGACAACATATTGGGGTGTTGAATTGCTTTTTTTTGATGTGTGTTCTGGTAGTGTTAGAGGAAAAATAGTAACTGTGGTCAAAGTATACTTTTTTGTTTTTTTTCCCCCCTAAGATTGTGGTAGTGATGCTCCTGCTAAAGATTCTTTATTTGGAGTTGCTAATTTATTTCAAATATATGATTTAATGGCTGTGTGGACTTAGTAAAGCCCCATTTCCTAATTTGGGGTATATTTTTATTCAGTTAAAGGTGTAGAGTAATAGAATGAAATGTGATGGTTTTGGATCTTACTTAATGAATTTACTAACCTCTTGGTTTATTTTCCAGAGTATGCAGTCAGGGAATTTAGGAAGGTTACATTATTTAAGTATCTGGATTTTTTTCCCCCCCAGTATTACTTTGAACTTAGAGGTGTTCATATTCACATTTAAATTTGCATCTTGCTGTCTTGATTATAGAAGTCTGCCTTGGGCCATCTGATTCATGAATCAGTGGAATGGTCAGTCTGTATTAGCTTTTCATCTTACAGCTGATATGTGAATACTAATTTTTATCTGGCTGGTAAATGAGTTCAGTAAAAAGGTTTTTGAACGCTTGGTGATGTGTCAGGTGGCTGTTCAGCCTTTACTATGGTGTTTCCTGAATTCCACCTCTTCAAGTACCTCAACTTGTGCTGAATAAGCTCCTATTTGACACAAATCACCTCTTGGGAAGATCCATCCTTCATGGCTGTTTGTCCACACTGTTCCTCTTTCCCCTCTCCTTCCTAGTAGTAAAAGAAAGGAATTGTAGTAAGAGGAAGAAGAAACAGGCTTTGAGTATACAGAACTCAGTTCATTACTGTCAGACCACCAGGTTTAAGTGTTTCTCTCACTCCCACCCCCTATGCTGTATGTTTCTGTGCTGGGTTTGAGAGGTTTTTTTACTCACCCTGAATAGCAGAGGATACTTGGGGGGGTAGGGGGGTGGCTTTTTGATTTGCCGATATTAGCTCTATTTACCAACTGTCTTTGTAAACGGAGGGAGTAAAAACTTGCTGGATGGGAGTTACACATGGCTCAACTGGATGCTTTGAGGGTCCTTGTGAGCATTTTTGTATTGCTTCTGAAACTGCTTGTCCACTTCTTTGTTCAGTGTTGTCCTTGACAGACACACTTGCAAACACACGTAAAAGCAAAGCCCAAGCCTGTTTAAAAATAACAGCAAACTTAAGACTTACTACGTTAAACACAGGGTCATTCTGATCAAAAAATGCCCCAAAAGCAGGATCTCCCACTCAAATGACAAGACAATATTCAAGCTCTCTTAGGCAACAACAAAACAAAATTAGATCATTGTAATGAAGACTAGTGACATGCATGTTTCTTCTTTGTCTTTCAAACAATTCTGTTTCTGGTACACAGTTGAAACTAATTCTGTTTATTTTCATAGTCCTGTTGCCCAGCTTGGGGACAAGATTTAAAAAAAAAAAAAAAGCAGGTGGAAATTCTACAGGGGGGGAAAAAGAGGAATGTGTAGACAACTGTAAAATCTTGAAACTGTTTTCAAGTTGGAAGGCTTCTTTAAGCTTTTTATACTGTGGATATGGCTGATTATATGAGAATGTAGTTGAAGTTTGTATACCAAGGTACCCACATATTAGTACCAATTATTCTAATAAAACAGAAGTCCTACCGGGAACTTATAATTAATTTGAAGTGAGTGTATTTAACTGGAAAAACAGGTTAGCTGCACCTGCTTATCTTTCCTGTGCCTTCTGACTGGCTTCCTTTGAGTCCTCAGGGTTTGTAGCAGTTCTTATCTAGGAGTAGTTTGGGGTGGTTTTATTTGTTTGGGGGGGGTTGGGTATTTTTTTCACTCTTCCATTCTTGCATCAGTGCAGGGACTACAGACTCTGAATTTATCAAGAATATCTGATGTGATTTGACAGCTGGGGCTCTTGTGTGTGGTTTTCCGAGGTCATTGGTGAATAGGTAACAATTAGGCAGGCTTTAGACATAATATTCAAATTAAAATACTTTGAAGTTTTAAAAATAAATAGTATGTGTACATATCCCTTGTATAAATTTAGTTTCTTGCTGGAGCATACAAAGCTGCTTCAGCTGTGGTGCTGGGCCTTTGGTATCGAGCTCACTGATGGCTGTCTATCTGTTGGAAACAGCACAGCTCTGTGGGGTGTTTTGTTTGTTTGTTGTTTGTTTGTTTTTCAGTTGAACTTAAGTCCTTATGTTCATTCCCAGACCAGAGAGGGAATAGGTACCAAATAGGTTACATAGAATTTGAGTCCTCAAATTCTTCTGCCTATGTTAACAGTTTTTACATGTCTACTGTGGGGTGGTTTATTTAGAGCAATTGTTCGCTTACAGCTAGAAAATCAAAAAGCAATAGATAAACAGCCCAACTATCAGGTCAGTGTACTGGCTTGTGCTCCCAAGTAGTTATGGTAAGTGTCACTTCATCATGGTTACACTGACTGTATAGACTGCTGGAGATTCCCACTTTGGTTTATGATGTTCAGCGACTTGTAGTGCCAAGTTTCAATGCATGTCTAGTATAATTAGTCTTGTTCTGCAGGGAACCTACAGTCTTTCAGATTGCCTTATTTCTCTGTGTTGATTTTGCATTTGTTTCTTACCTGTTTACTATCAATGGTCACCTTTTAAATTTCCTTTATTATTTTCAGTATTTTAAGATAAAAAGATGGCTCTCCTGCCTAAAGTATTATGTAACTGTACTTAACATAACGTGTATGTAAGACACTGAATTGTATAGATGTTTCTTACTGTGGAAAATCTATTCTTGGAGCTTTCCTGGTGTGACTGACTGTGAAACAAGGGCACTCCTTCAGATGCTTGAGACCGTGAAAATTGAATGCCATGTTTAGGTGGATGGAAGGTTTCATCAGAGAGTAGTTTACAGCCTACTTCTAGGATACTGCTCCAAACTGACAAGTTTTGAAAGATTTCAAATACTAATAGGTGGGGAGAGACAGGAGGGATGAAGGTTAAGATTTCTTTGTTTCAGCTCATGTTGAATACTTGTCTGTTTATGGTTTAATACCTGATTTTTTGCTAGTATACTTCAAAAGTCAGGGTAATTTGTGGGTTTGTTTTCCAGTTTTGATTTTGATTTTGTTGTGGTGGGCTTTTGATTGTTTTTTTTCCAATGCATGCTTTCTCATTTTAGAAGACATTGGACTACTCAGACTTTATTCTTGCCGTTTTACTTCTTCACTAGCTTAAAGCTTTGATCATCATTTGTCTGATAATTTGACATTCATGTAAAAGCTGCCTTGAAATAGAATACTGTGTGAGAAGAGATTAGTCAAGACTTCTCTACTATTAGTGGAGCTATTTATATTTTATTAAGAGCTATACGTATCTAGAATTTATTTTTAAATGTATCATTTAATAAGATCCCAAATTGACTATATGATAAGAAACTACTATTTTAACTTAATCTATTTAAACAAACAAACAAAAAAATACTGACTGGAAATTTGGGGCTTATTTTATAAAGTAATTTCCATTAATTTAAAAAAAGGAATTTGTTCTAAAGCAAATAATTGAATTGAAGGCTTTGAATTCAGGAAACTGTATTATTACCAATCTTTTAGCAGATAGAGCTTTTTCCAGTGCATACAGAAGGCATTTTGTTCATTTTATTATGGACAGCTCAATGATTTTCTTATATTGTGGAATTAAAATAATCATTAACTGTATTAAGGAGTAGGAAGGAGAATTAAATTAAAATCCCAGGTGCTTAGAGCTCCTAGTTCTAAGGCCTTGATGGCTTGGTGATCAGAAATTACTGTTCTTTCATTACAAATACTTAGTTTAATTACCTTTCAATGTGAGAAGTTTTGATACCCTTTCCTTCAATCTGAGTAGTGTAATGTTTTTATTCAGACTCTTTAAGAAACAACTTTCATACTAAAGATTAACTCAAGGACCTATCTGAATTAGCTTGATACAAAACCTGAATGAAAGAAACTGATTCCTAGTAATTGTATTTCATTGTTTTCTAATGTAAGGTTATTTTGGGGTTTAATATATTACCTTGCTTAAATTTATGCTTAGAAAATTGTTTATAGTGTGAAACTTTTAATAGTCATAAACTGACAAGTTGCAGTGAAATTCTGTCCTGATTTGAAGAATGCTGGAAGCATTACTAATGAAAAACCTCTGTGGTTGAATTGATGTATGGTACAGCATGTTCTTGCACTCCGCTGCTCACTTCTCAACAGTAGTCTTTCCCTGTTGGTTGAGCAGTAATAATTTATTAGCTTTAAATTAAAACTGATGCCTCAAAAACATACAACTTTAGTATAACTTTCATACTACTGGTTAAAGGAAAAGGGAGTGAGAATTTTGTTTATATCAAAAGTTGTGCTCTGGAAGTAGTTTGCCTTGCAAATAATAAAGATGAGACAGAAATGCAGTAGATGAGAGGCGGATCTGTGAAGTAGTTAACAGTTCTTAGTTGATTCCTAAGTAATCAGTAGGGTCATGAAATTTAACTTAAAGCCTTTTTATGTTTGCTATGTGCTCATTATGAGTGTTTTTCCAGATTCTTTTGAAATTGAAAACCCATACAGAAATGTATTTTGTCAGACTTTTTATAGTTGATGTATAAATCTTGATGTGTAGAAGTATGTTACTACTAAATGTATAGACAGGAATAGAAATGCATATTTGGCACCTTCTCACAATGTGGTGCTTTACAGTGTTTATCGATTTACTTTGACATCCATTTTTAGGACAGTGAAGACACGTTTCATGTTTATTAGGCTGCAGGTTATTTTGATACAGGAAAATGTGGCTTCTTCCTCAACATCAATAACTGTAATCTGTATTGTGTTATCACTGTGCCTTTGGTTTAATCAAACTGGTCATTGTAAACCTTGATATTTTTATTTGTTTGTTTTTCTTTAAGGAGCTGAATGTGGTATAAATGCAGAAGTAGAAAAACAGCTTGAAATGGGAAAGAAGTTATTGGCCGCTGGACAGCTAGCAGATGCTTTGTCTCACTTCCATGCAGCTATAGGTATGTATCTCAGGAAAGTGGCTCTTGCACTGAAATGCCTTTGGGTGGTTTGTGTGTGTTGGTTTTGTTTGTTTGTTTGTTTGTTTTTTTCTATTTTTGTATTTGCTTCATTAAATATCCTACTGTCTTGCAAATTGATTCCGTGAGTCACGGAAATTGGGGCACCTTTATGCAGCAGTTTGGACAGGAGCCAGCAGAGATGCAATAGAATGTTTATGCTTTGATTTCAATAAAAGAAACTCTTAAATTACCTACATGATACATGAATACAAAGTCACTGCTGTTCTGCAAGCTAGCTGTATGAAAGCAATTATAATGAACTGTGGTATCGTTTGATGAGGTATTGCCTGTATCTAATAACATCAAGATTAGGTTTTATCTTTATGAAGTTTTTTGAAGTATATCCTTGAAAGGTTGAATTTATCCATGCTTTCTTCTCTCTAGCACTGTAAAAAATTCAGTGTTTAAAATAGTGTCTTTTTTAAAAATTAATTCTTGAAGTGATTGATACTTCAGTGAAACAGATGCTACAGGTTTGAGATACTGATCTGCCACTGTCTTATACTCAAATAGTGAGTGAGTTCTTGTTTTGGTGTTCTGCATCTTCAACAAACTGTGACATTAAGTGTTTGTTCTATTAATTTTAAAGTAATTTTGCTGGTTAAATTCCTTTAATTGGAGTGTAGAGACAGACAGCACCAGTAAAGAGCAGTGTCCATTAACACTGTAATTTCTCACTTGTGTGGTGTTTTGGGGTTTTCTTAAAGTTGTTGGACTTTATCTTAATGTGTACAAGTGCATCATTTTCTCCACGAGAACAATAATATCAAGTTGTTACACATTAATGTCATCCTATTTAGACTTTCCTACTTACGCCTTCATCTAACTGATATGTAACTGAAATATCTGCTGATTCTGAATTAATATTTTCAGTGAGTTCTCAGATCAACTTCCCTTATATAAAGGGGGGTGGGGTGGGGCAGATCTTCCTCTTTTTATGTGCTAAGGAAGCTTCTCATTGCAGCAAGAGGCGGTCTGTTACTCCTTTTGCCTTGTGTGTTGCTGCCAAAGCACTCCTTCGGAATCTGAGCAGGGTTAGTGTTACAGTATGGTTTACTCCTTTATTATTGGTTGGCAAGCTTTACCTTGGATTTGGTGAAAAGTCCAGTTCAGTCTGTGGTGGTGCAAAGGCAGCAGGGGTGTGAGGTGGGATGGGCAGTGAGGCACCTCCATGGGGTGAAACTCAACTTTTCCAACAGCACTCAAGCACCTAATAGAACTACAGTGTGACCACCTCTGTTGTGACTTTGATGGGATTCTTAGTTGGATGTTGATTGCCTAAACTTTCATCAGATTTCTTTTTCTTAATTTTATTTTGCCTTTTTGAAATTTTAACCACAGTTTGCCTACTGTGTTTGTAAAGGAGGGTAGAGGAAATTTCTCTAATCCCTTTTTTGCCTGTACTGCATTATTTTAGACTGTGAGGTAAATGGATCTTTTTGTCTTGCCTCAGCCAACCAATTTTTTTTTTTCAAACATATAAAATAGAAGCAAGCTACTGTCCATTTCCTCTCTCCAGATTTTCAACTCTTTTTTTCAATCTTGTCAGATTGATGGCTTATGCCTTCTCTCTTAGTAAATGTCAATTACTGTTCATTACTGTTACTGGGGAATTGAGACAAAACTGTATTCTGTCAGAAAGATCATCATATGGTGCTGGAACATGCTTTCTAGGTTAGCTTTTTCCTATCTTTCATCCTTTGTGTATTAATAAAATTCCTTAATTTCAGCTGTTGATTTGTGCCTACTCTACACAGCTGTATGCAGTAGGACTTCCTTTTATTAAAGGTAGTAACATCTGAATTTACTTGATGTCCATAATGCTGACATGCTGGGTGGCATATAGCATGAGAGTTATTAAATTTGGGTGCTGGATGTTGGCATTTCCACAGCCAAGACATGTAGAGAAAAGGTGCATATACATTTTCGAGTGAGAACTGAACTAATGTTTTGGTGATGGAAGTGGCCAGTTAGGAAATTTTGTTACTGATCGTAACATTTTCAGCAATACTATTTGTTCATTTATTTTAAAGCTTAATTTTAACCTGAAATGAGGTGAGGAAGAGAAATACTTGTTTTATTCCTTAGATATAGATGTTCTTGTCTACAAATTCTTGATTGACCATTATGTTTTAGCACAGTAAAAAGTTTACTGTTTTCTACTGCATATGGTTGTTTGGGTGGTCTGAGTTAGCCCTCCTTGAGAGCCCACGGTAACTGTCACATGTTTCTTTGAAATACTGCATAGAGAAGAATATTAAGAAAATTCTTCTTGGTTTCAGAGACTGTTTGGCTCCTGGAAGGGTGTACATATATGTGCTAGCCTATAGAATGTTAAAGTTGCTGGATCTTAGAAGTTTGACAGCCAGACAACATGGAATATGTGAGCCTTGAAATTAGTCTTTGGGTTTTAATAATATATGTGCATTTGTCTACTGTTAAGAGGGGATGTTGGTGCCCGCTTTAATATTAAAGAAAGAAGTTGCTGCTGTTTCAATGGATGGTGTGTTTATGCGTCTGTGACAACATTGGACTAACACATTGGTCACTTGGGGATTATTTGCTTGCATCCTAGATCATGGACAGGGACTGGGATGGAGAATGATGAATTAACATTCTTTCAAATGTAGGCCTGCGCTTGGAGGTAAAGAGTTAATATGTAGTGGCTGTCTTCCTGTACAAAGCTGGACATATTTCACCTTCAGTACTCTTAATTATTTGGCATTTACTGTGTTTTCTGTAATCTTTATTATTAAATAATCAAACTGTGTAGAAAACACTGCTTGGATAATGTTACAAATGTTATGTTTTATCGATAAATACATTTTTTCTAGTGGCTTAAAAGTCAGATAACATATTCTTAGTCATTACAGTTTTTCTGTACCCAAAGTTTCAGTTGCTTTGCAATAGTATTCTGATTATTTTTTGTTCACTTGCAGAGGGAGACTCTGATAACTACATTGCTTATTACAGAAGAGCCACGGTGTACTTGGCCATGGGCAAATCTAAAGCAGCAATTCGTGATTTAAGTAAAGTGGTTGAATTGAAGCAGGACTTCACATCAGTAAGTGTTATTGGAATTGAAAATTGTTCAAGCATAAAACATACTTTGAAGAAGGGTTTTTTTTCAGATTTTGCTAAACAGAAATGGAAAATACATTATCACTCTGAAGGCTTTAAATAGGATAAAATAATAACAATGGTGTATGTGCTTGAACTTGTAACTATACTGAGTACTGTCTAGCCAGTTATTCTGACAACTAATAGTAGTTTTATTAAGTCCCTCATGGATTTGTGCTAAACACTTTCCTTCTCTCACTTGTGGTTATTCTCAGTCACCAAGGCTATGAGATGCCTCTGTTTTTCTTTTGTCTTAATGAGCATTTGATTTGACTCATCTCTTCACTACAAGAACTGTCCTAATCTCACTGTTTCTTCTATGAGATTGTTACAAGTTCTGATTTACTTGCCCTTTTCTCACCACTACATTCTGTATGTGGAGACTGCTTCACTAGTTGGAGACTGATGCTGAAGTCCTCTCCCATCTTATTCTCATCTCCCTTTTCCATGGTCAGGGGCATGTCCTGTATCACTTACAATGAAGGAGAAAATACTCAGTTCATCACTGCATGAAAATACTATTATCATAAATCAAAATCTTCTAAATCATTAACTTGTCTTTTTACGTAGCTTCTATTATTCTGAAAGTTTAGTGGAAGAATTATACGTGGGAAGTGTTTATTTATTCTAATTTCTTAAAATCTTTAAGCAGTTCTAATCAGGAAAGTGGTGTAAGGTAAACACTCACTTTGTGCGACTCTTCAAATGACTTCTTTCCATGAGTTGCAGCTGCTCACAAAAACTGTGACTGTTTTTTGTCTCTCAGTTCTGGTGCAGAGTGATCCTTTACCATCTAAGAGGCCTCAAAAACATTGTCAAATGGAGAAAACAGAATAGATGTTGTAATTTCTGTTTCAGCTTGTTAGCAGTAGTAAATGAAACTTTTTTTTCCCCCCCCTACTGAAGGAAACTGAAGCTTATGTTCATACTTTGCTGAATTCCAATTTGGAAATCAAAAGAAATTATGTTTCATTTCAGGCAAGATTACAGAGAGGACACTTACTGCTCAAGCAAGGAAAATTTGATGAAGCAGAGGATGACTTCAAAAATGTGGTAAGTTGGAGGCCTAAGTTGGAACTACACTGCTTTTAAGACCAGGTTCTGAGCCAAGGTCTCATCTCAGTTCTGATGTTCTAGAGCATATGTGTACATATTACTTGAGTTTGTCTTTCCTGTTCTTTAAAGGTATTGTACCTAAGCTACCTTGTATGAATAAATGACTGATAAAAGTTGCAGTGCAGTGATGAAGGTGAAGGCAGAAGTTGTTGCGTGAACTAGCACAGCACTTTGAAAAGTCTCTTTTGTGTGCCTGGCAGTTGATAATCTCTGCTCGATGATGCCTGTACTAGGGATCAGTCTTGGTTCACAAAGAAATAAGTGACATGGGATTCAGAATACGTAATTGAACCCTGCTTTATATCACTATATTCAGGTCACCCTGGGAAATCACTAGGGGCCTCATGGATCAACCTTTGACGGTTCCTATATCTTTTCACTAACTGCAGAAAGATCCCAGGCTCTTGATTTAGTCACTGGGCTGTTAGAGAATTTCAGTGGCATGCATCTGTGTTTTTCTCACCTGCAGAGGAGTTCTCTATCTTTCATGAATATGTTGACAATACCTTATTCATGATCAGGAATTGCCCAGAGTTTCCATATAAACACAGTTGGATATTACCCACCTAAAACTCACTTGGGTTGTTTATTGTTTGATGGTGATTTTGTGCATTTCAGCCTTATGCTGCAAACATAAACTAATTTAACCCCAGAACAAAATTCCTTAGAATATGTGAAACTCTATTCCCTCTGCACAAAATTTCTGTAAGCTTAATAATAAATAAAATTAGTTCTTCCTCTTGCTTTGAACAGCTTGCATGTCCCTTAGCCAAAATAAATAGAATTTGGAAGTGAAACTGATGGTGTCTTGTTGGCGTTCTTTGAAGAACGTGATGGAGAAAGCAGTTCTGTGTTGCAGATTACAGATGTTTAATGGAAATCTTACTAGTGAGTATGTATGACAAAAACAGAGCAGTTCTACTGTACTCTCTGCAGGGCAGCTGGGAGGAATGGCTCTTGCAGCTATGAATACTGGACAGTCTTTTGTTTGTAGCAAAGCTGCAGTAGCTTATTCTGAAATTCATGTAGCGGTGTCTCCTGGCTGCTGCTGCTTCCTCAATAAGTTTCTTAGGAGTGTGTGGTCTGCAGTTGCATGTCTGATTGCAGTTCAGTGCTGCTGTTTGCAAACGTGGGAGAATGTCATTCAGCTCTGATTAACTGAGGACATAGTTGCTGCAATAGCAATTACGTGATGTCAGTGTTGATTCTGAGTTTGTATATGCATCTTTCTGCAGTTACTGTTTCTTGAAGTATTGTTTAATGCTACACATGGAAATGTTTCTCCAGCCAACTGTCAAGTAGCTTGCCCCTTTTCCAAAGCAGCTGCAAAAATTTATATTGCTGCCTTTGGTCTTTCAGGTAGTTTCAGTCTTCAGTCAAGTTTTAAATCCAGAGTGGAACAAAGCTGATTTTAAAAGATACTATATTGGTCCTGAAACTTGGTTCCAGTTTCCCTGGTTCTGTGAAAAATAGTGCCTGTGTACTTAGAGAATATGGCAAGCAGTATCTTGTGAAAAGCATAGTTTTCAGTTAAGTACAGTATATTCAAGCAAAATAAGCTATTATTAAAGTAATCATTTGTAATAGATCACTTAACTTAATCCACTTCCCCATATAAATAATCCTGTGTACCTTGAATCTTTTAAGTAGAGTACCTATTTATTTGGGAAATTACCCTTGTTTTCTTCTAAATCTTTCAGATAGTCAGTCTGATTATTCTACCAGTTCTCTGTGAGTCTAAAAGATCTAGTATACTCTGGCAGTGTTTGCATTTAATCTCAAGATGAGAGGAAGTCAGTCACAATACTGTGCGATGTGTTAACGTTCTGTGTTTCTCCGGGTTTTTTTTTTTGTTAATGAGGGGAGGAGAGAAGGAAGAAGGCTCTTAGGGATTGAATAGCTTTCTAAATTATTTCAAGACTTTTACATCCAGATGCTGTCTTCGCTACCAGAAGTGATAAGGGCAAGGTAAATAGTAGCCACTAGGAAGCTTTGACTCATTGTAAGTCAGTGGTCAAGAAGCCAAAGGAAGTAGTACCTTGAAATGAAAGTGCCGTCTATTGCTAGGGTAGATACAGCACAAATAAATGACAGTGGGATCTTAATAGCTTTTAGGCTGGAATTTAGTTGTAGATTGGATACCTAAAATTGTGTTTTACATGTGAACAGACTATGTAATCTAGGATTCTGCTTTTTAGCTGAGTAAATGTAGTTAGGATCTGAACAGCCCTCTATCATCTCACTTTCTTGACTGGGTGTCAGCTAACCAGAATGCTTTTGTTCTAGGTAAGCATGTAGCACATCAGCAAACTTTGGTGTCCAAATCTGGAGCTACACTGGAGAAAAGCTTGGGCCATCCTTCATTAGTAGTGCATAGGCTCTAAATCTGCAGTCACTGTAAGTCAGTAGACGTGCAGCAGTCTAGTCATACGTTTGAGTCTGTAGAAGTTGAGTGTCACGGAAAGATGAAGTGGAAATGCGGTATTTAAAAACCAAAATAAAACAAACCTCTGCCCCATCCATCCCCCTTCACTGAAAGGGAATTCGTAATTTGAAGAGAAGTCCACTTCCTTTCCTGTGCAGGGTGTCAGAACATTACCTTGAATAGGTGGTCCTGAGGGTGTCACATGCTTACAGAAATTACTTGTGGGGTGTTAAATGTTGTGGGGTTTTGTTTGGGTTTTTTACCTTCAGTTTTAAGTTTTTTCCTGAGGAAATAGTTATGTAGATGAGATGGGCTTTCTGCTGGTAAAAACCATCCTTTTTGAAGTAGATTGTATGGCCTTGAATGACAGTAGATGTGTAATCGCTTATGTGATTTTGCACAAGACGTTGTTTGGGTCGGGTGTTGACTTCAAGGGAGCAGATCAGATTTTATAATATTCCCCACTTTGGAGCTGGAGAAACCAGGTCAGAGTATAGAAACTAAGGAGAGTAATTTTACTTGGACTACTCAAGGACAGACATGTACAAGTGAGATGGTTTGTAATTCCCTGTATGACACTTGCATTAAGTGTCAGTGTCACCAGTGTTGCTTTCCATGCCTACCAGAACTGCAAGGTGACTGTTGTGGCCAGCAGCCAAATGCCATGCAGCTGCTTGATCCTCCTCCTCAGGGAGTGAGGGAGAAAATTGGAGGGGTACAGGTAAGGAGACTCATAGGTTGAGATAAAAACAATTTAGTAATTGAAATAAAGTAAAATTTTAATGCTAACAGTAGTAGTAATAGAAAATATAAAGGAGTAATGCACAATGGGATTGCTCACCACCTGCTGACGGATGCCCAGCCCATTCCTGGCTAGTCATTCCCTAGAGAAGAGAGAATCCTGAAACTATCCTGGAAGTGAGTCTGAGCTTTCTGATCAACCCCCATCTATCTACTGAGCATGATGCTATATGATATGGAATATTCCACTGGCCAGTTTGGGTCTGTTGCTTTGGCTGTGCTCCCTCCCAGCTTCTTGGGCACTTGTGTACTGGCAGCACATGGGAAGTCGAGAAGGTTTTGATTTCTTAGCAACGACTGAAAACATCAGTACGTTAACAACGTCCTTCTCATATCAAATGTCATACTGAATCCAAAACACAGCACTATTCTAACTACTAAGAAGCAGGGGGGGGGGGGAAAGAGGGGAGCTCTATCCCAGACAAAACCAGGACAGTGACTGATGTAATGAGCTGTCTGTAAAATGCTGTTTTCTGCTAGCATATTCCAGAAGTCTGTCAAATCCCAGTAGAGACTTTGAAAAGTGCTTTTTTTTTTTTCCTTCCTATCTCTCCTCTTAAAGTCATGCTCTTTGAAAGGGATCTCAGCAGTTTAGGAGATGTAGTCATTTTGAAGGGAGAGAAAGAGTAAGAAAAATTCAGCCTGTCTAGATGGAGGGGAGGATCACATGTAAACTTGTTGTGGTTTGAACATGGCCAGCAGCCAAACACTGTGCAGCAGGTCACTTGCCCTCCTCCTGCCTGGTGAATGGGGGAGAGGCCTAGAGGGACACATGGAAAACTTGTAGGTTGAGATAAAAAACCAAAAAAACCCAAACAAACAAACAAAAAAACACAAACCAAACCAAACAAATAAACCCTTCCAGTTTAGTGATTGTATGAAAACAGTAACAGTAATGGAAAGTACAAATGGGTAATGTGATTTCTTACCACCTGTCCACTGATACCTGGCCCACTCCCATCCAGTGATCTTAGAAGAATGAAGATCTTGCCATTGCAAACATGGAAGCAAAAGAGAACCCGCCTCCTTTATATACTGAGCATAATGTCACATGATATGGAATACTCCAGTGGCCAATCCATGCCGAGCACTCTGGCTGTACCTCCTCCCAGCTCAAGAAAAGGTAACTCTGTCCTAGCTGGAATCTGGGTAGGGTGCTCTTACTGCGCTCCCTCCCAGCTGAAGAAAGCTAAATCTTTTCTCAGCTGAAACCAAGACAACTCTAAACCTCTTAAAAGTTACATGATTGCTAAGCAGAGCAGTTTCTCTGAGTGTCAGCTGACATCATCTACCCGGACTTTTGCAAAGCTTTTCATGCTGTCCCACACAACATCCTTGCTTCTAAGTTGAAGAGACGTGGATTTGACAGATGGACCACTCGGTGGATAAGGAATTGGCTGGATGGTCGCACTCCAAAAATTGCAGTCAACAGCTCGATGTCTGAGTGGGGAGCAGTGGTGAGTGGTGTTCCTCAGGGGCCAGTGTTGGGACCAGCGCTGTTTAATGTCTTTGTTGGAGACATGGACAGTGGGATTGAGCAAACCCTCAGCAAGTTTGCTGACAACACAAAATTGTATGGTGTGGTCAACACACTGGAGGGAAGGGATGTGCCATCCAGAGGGGCCTGGAGAGACTGGAGAGGTGGGACCATGGAAATCTCATGAAGTTCAACAAGTCCAAGTGCAAGGTCCTGCACATGGGTCAAGGCAAG